CACGGCCAGTGCCTGGTGCTTGTCCGCGGGGACACGGGGCGCGCCTGCACGCGCACGTGGGCCAGCCTGTGTCCCTTCCGGCTGCGTGTGTGAGGCCCGCCGGTGGCCGGTGTGGCAGTGGTCTGTTTTCCGCATTGGCACGTGCTGTCCGGGTACGACTACATCACAGTTCACCCCTCCTTCCTGTTGATGGCGTTGGAGTCGTTTCCAGTTTGGGGCCGATACCGTGGTCCTCTGGTCCTGGTGAGTGTATTTAGCGAGCTCTGTTGGGAACACGCCCACGAGCAAAACCGCTGGGACCCGGGGAGGTGGATGCTCAGCTTAGGAGAAAATGCCCCGACAGTCTGCCAGAGAGACTGCGCAGGGTACATGCCCGCGGGCAGAGCTCAGTGGTGCCCGGGGCCTCACACCCTCGACGGCGCTTGGTGTTGTCGATCTTCCATTGTAACAGTGCTCCGGTGGGTTCATTCCTTCTGCCCCTTTACCTCTTGGTGCCTCCCTTTCCCTATCTGTCAAATGGGCGGTTCGGTGCGTTGCTTTGTGAACAGAGCCCAGCACGGGGCCGGCGGGAGGGGAGGGGGTGCCAGTGGGAGCTGCCGCAGTTGGTCTCCATCTGGCGCTCACATTTCCTGCCCAGTCAGTAGGCAGGTGAGGAGGGGCTTCATCCCCTGCTACCCAGCCCCTTCCCAAGTCGGCCTGTCACCTGCAAAACCACTGCCTTTTTGTGAACTGCGTTTTGTGTGTCCGTGGGCAAGCTGGCTCTGCCACAGGGGAGGCAGGTCCCTGGTAGGCTGACCCCCTTCCCATCCAAAGCCCCTCCCCGGTCCTCAGTGCTGCCCATGACCCTTTGGGGGCAGGGGCCCTGCATGAGGGGATGAAAGGGCCCTGCCTGGGCTTTGAGCTGTCTGGCCTGGTTGTGGGGCTGTGCGGCCCTGTGTAAGTTGCTTGCGCGGCTGAGCCTTACTTTCCCCACCTGTGGAATGGGGGTAATGACCATGCCAGGTTTGCCGGGTGACCTCGACTGTACCGAGGGGCCCAGCAGCAGGTGAGGCACACAGTAGGTCCTGGAAGATGGTGACCTGCCTGGGTCCTCAGATGAGAAGGAGCCTCAAAGGTTTCCAAGACATACTGCCTTTCCCGCCCTGTGGGCACCCCCAGGACCTACTAGTGACTCTGGGGGACTCGGGGGGGGGGGCTTTACCACTCTGAGCCTGTTTCTACATCTGTAAAATGGGGACGCTGCTGCTAACACTCCCTCCCAGAGTGCCTGTGAGGGTTTAACAAGTTGTTCACAGGGGTGTGTGAGCAGAAGCAGGTAGTCTCCACGTGTGCGCTGGAGTGAGGGAAGGGGGGGCCTGTGCACAGGTGGGCCCCGCACTGTGGCTGGGGCAGTGCAGACACTATGCCCATCCTTCCGGAGCCTCACCCAGGACCCCGATGGCTCACAGCCAAGCTGGGCAAAATGCCTGCTGTGATGGGAAGGGCAGGCAGAGTGGGGCAGCTTCAGAGATGGCTCCTGGAACAAAGGGCACCTGGCTCAGGCGATGAAAGGGGCCAGGATGCAGGGAAACAGCGGGGGCTAAGGTCCCGGGTCGGAAGCACGTCCAGGTGGGAACACACATAATTTAGAGAGAGCAGAAGCCCAGAGCAGGCCGCTGGGCAGGGCGGGCAGGGCGCTCTTCGCTGCAGGGCAGCGGTCCTCCAAGGGGCATTCCTGTCCTCCGGGGCACACTGGTCATGTCTAGAGAAGTATTCATTCGGTTGTCACAACTCGAGGAGGGGTGCTACTGGCATCTAGTGGGCAGGGGCCAGAGAGGCTGCTAACCATCCTACAATGCACAGCACAGCCCCTGCCACAAAGAACTCCCAGGGCCCCAAATGGCAGCAGTGCTGGGGGGAGAGGGCCTGCCCCCAGGGCATGGCCAGCTGGGGGAGGTTTTGGGCAGGGGCGAGCAGGGGCAGGCATGCCTGGCAGAAAGGTCACTGGCTCTGCCCCGGGGGTGCAGGGATGTGGTCTGACCTGGGCCGGGCAGCACCCAGAGGAGGCGGGAGCAGTGCCCTCGGTCCCTCTGGCCTAACCAGGGCCGCGCAGGTGCAGCCGGCCAGAGGCCCCCATCCTGCCCCTGCCTGGGGCAGCCCCCACCTAAGTGGCCTAAAATAAACTCAGTGTGGAGAATGGAAATGTCACTTCGGCCAACGGGGGAATCTTTCTCCGAGATTGGATTTAAACTACATTATACAAGCAATTTCATGGGCACTTAGCACCGCTCGGAGAGTCCCGCAAAAAAGGGACCAGCTCTTCATTTACCAGCCATAAATCAGCAGTTGCTATAATGAGCACAAAAATGTCACTTTTATGCAATTTTACAGATGAACAAAACTGGTGAAATTAACTGTGGTAACCTACTATAGTCAGCAAAAGCAGCTGCCGGGGAAAAAAATTATATCTGTATGTATTTTTGTGCTTCTTAAACTCTCTTCCCAAGCAAGTTTCTGCCATTGTGGTGTGAAAACTCATTTGTCCTCACTATTATACTTTCATTTGGAGTTTATCTTGAGTATCCAATGAGCCACCAACTGTGAAAATGATTAAATCTACAAAATCTATCTAATGGATGGAATAAATTAGGTGTTTAAAACCTTAAGAAAAAGTGTGGGGGGAAGCAACGCCTGTTACCAGTTCCCACTCATTGAAAGAAGGGGCCCCTCTGGCCCCTGACAGGAGACTTCTCGAGGGTGGGCAGGTCACCTCTGGCTTTTGTCGGAGCCTGTGGTGGTGGCATAACAGAGGATGCCCTTGGGTGGGTGCTAGGCTCCGAGCCCCCAAGGTTTTCTCGATGACTCTTGTTTGGAGCACCTGACAGCTCAGAGGTGGGAGATGGGTCCCCATTTTATAGGGGAGGAAGCAGACAAGTTGTGGCATTTGGCAGGTGGCCTCCGA